TTGTTCCCTTCCTGTCTTCTGTTATTTCTGGATACGGTAGCCTCTCTGGGTCTGGGTGTCACCACAGTCTTCAGATTTGAGTAACTCTGCCATACTTCAACAGAACAGCGTTGTTATCTCCTCTGAGAGTCCAGGAAAGCCACAAGTGTTCTCAAAGTGAAACGTACAGCTGCCATTACCACATTCATTATTTTGCTCAGTTCTGTGGTTGCTTAGCAACCCAAGTTAGACTGCCCCACCAATGGAAAATTTAAAATTACTTCCAGTAATTGCTTCAAACAGCAGATAAAACATCTTCCTGTTTAAATGGGACTAGGTGGCATTTTATTTTGTTTTTCAAAATTGTTTTATATTTATTTATTTACTTATTTTGTATGTGTATGCACACACACAGTTGCCATGGACCTGTGTGGAGGTCAGAAGACAACTTGCAGAAGTCTTGTCTCTTTTACTATATAGTTTTCTGGGGAATCAAACCACTGAGCCATCTCTAGTCCCAGCTCAAGACTAAAGACTAGGTTCCCATAAAGGATCTGAAATCTTTTATTGCATTTCCTAAATATTAGGAATCCTTGGGGCTCAGTAGTTAAGAATACTTGCTGCTCTTGCAAAAGACCCAGGTTCAGTTCCCAGCATCTACATGGCAGCTCACAACCATATGTAACCAGTTCCATAGAATCAAGCGCCCTCTTCTGACCTCGTGTGCACATAAAATAAAATAATTTTTTTAAAAAAAGAATTCTAATGAACATTTGAGAGTCTCATCATGTAGCCTAGGCTACACTCAAACTCATCATCCTGCCTCGTCCTTTCCAGTGCTGGAGTTACAGGTGTTGTGCATACACCATTCACTGTTGAAGAAACACAGCCCCATGGGCTGGAGAGATGGCTCAGAGGTTAAGAGCATTGCCTGCTCTTCCAAAGGTCCTGAGTTCAATTCCCAGCAACCACATGGTGGCTCACAACCATCTGTAATGGGGTCTGGTACCCTCTACTGGCCTGCAGGCAGACACACAAACAGAATATTGTATACATAATGAATAAATAAATATTTTAAAAAAAGAAAGAAAGAAACAGCCCCAAACTTTCCAGATTCTATCTAAATTACACTTCCCTATCCCCAGGCTCCTGCTGTAGGTGGGCTGAGCCTTTGGCAGCCCCACCAGCCTTTTATATTCTGGGTCTAGCTCCTCCAGGTGTGGAGTGGATGGAGTTACAGGCAATCTGGGTAGCAGGAATGGGCAGATAGACCCAGAGGAGGCAGCCTTCTCCTACTGCTACTTCTCCCTGAGAATCCAAAGTGACCTCTCGGGAGGAGCAGTGAAGGGAAGCAAACGCAAGAAATGGATTCCCCATAGCAAGGGAAGCAAAGGGACTAAGAAAAAATAACAAGAGATGAATTCCTCATAGCAAGGGAACTAAGAAAATAACAGGTGTGAAGAGTTACTGAGGAACAAAAGTAGAAAACAGCTAACTTGCAGTGGTTCTAAGACAAGTTAGAACTTTCTACAAGACAGCAGAAAAGCATAAAGAGTCCACCAAGATGGCTCAGCAGGTAAAGGCACTTGCCGCACAAGCCTGGTGACCTAAATTCAGTTGCCAGAATCATCTACATAAAAGTGAAAGGGGAGAACCAACTTCCACATGTATGATATGGCATGCATTCATGCAGATGCACATATACAGTGTATCTGTGTGTCTGTATTTAAAGAATTAAGGGCCAGGCAAGATGGCTCATTAGATAAAGGTGCTTGCCGACAAGGTTGAGAACCTGAGTTCGGTCCCTGGGACCCTCATGCTGAAAGGAAAGTATTGACTCCTTAAAATTGTCTTCTGACTTCCACACACATCACCATGGAACATGTTACACACAAAGTAAGTAAATATAAAATAAAAACTCTACTTTAAAAGTGGTAAAATATACAGACATATTTGAATGAGTGGAAGACAGAAGTGAGTGTGCTAACCCATTGCCAGTTGAGTGGAAGGAAGATGCTAGAGTGAAGGAAGCTCAGCAGAACTAAAGGAAGATAAGGGCACAGTCACTAAAGTACTTGATGTGCAAGTATGAGGTCCCGAGTTCAATCCTTAGAGCCCACGTAAAACCACCAGATGTGGTGGGGTGCACTTAGTACCCCAGCTTTGAGGAGGCAGAAACAATTCTGCAGTTCTCTGGTCAGCCAGCCTGGCCTACTTAGCCAACTCCTGGCCACTGAGAGAACCTACCTCAAAAATAATGTGGCAAGCAGATACCTTTAATCCTAATGCAAGGCAGGCAAGGTTCACAACCAGTCTGGCCTACATAATGAGTTTCAGGACAGCAAAAGATACATAATGAAACCACATTGCAAAAATAAGTGGGTAACACTGAACGCTAACCTCTGGCTCTCACAAGCATGCACACGCATGAACATGCATGCACACACAGGGGAAAAAAACATAAACATTGAATGATGTAGAAGACAGAAGTTGGTATGCCTACCATGTCCAGTCAGATAGACAAAATGACATAAAGATTGTTTAGCAGAACTAAAGTAAGGTGATCCCGCTCATACAAGGAGCTGTCCTACCTGAACACATATTCAGGGTCTGCTTACTTACCCAGGCCTAGCTGATCCTCATCCCCTCCCATATTCTGCAGCCAGCTCAGCCGCAGAGCTTAAGGAGAAGTTGGCCACCTTCTCCAGCATATCTTATCTTGGGTTCTCAGCAGCCAAGTTATTTCTGGCTTTTTCTCCCATATATGCAATGGTGGCAAGACATTTGCCTACCCCAGGCTCTAGGATCCACTCTTCATGGTAGGGTGTTGTCTTAGTTAGGTTTCTTTTGCTGCAGCGAAACACCATGACCAAAAAGCAATTTGGGGAGAAATTTACACTTGTTACTGTTATCAAGAGGTCTGTTACTGTTACTGTTGGAAGGCAGGCAGGACAAGAGCTCAAGCAGGACAGGAGCCTGGAGGCAGGAGCTGGTACAAAGGTTATGGAGGGTTGCTGCTTACTGGCTTGCTCTCATGGCTTGCTTGGCCTGCTTCCTTATAGAGCCCAGGACCACCAACCTAGGGATGTCTCCTCCCACAATGGGCTAGGCCACAATGGACTGACCCTGTCAGTTTCTAATTGAGAAGATGGCCGGTGATGGTGGCGCACACCTTTAATCCCAGCACTCGGGAGGCAGAGGCAGGTGGATCTCTGTGAGTTCGAGACCAGCCTGGTCTACAGAGCTAGTTCCAGGACAGGCTCCAAAGCCACAGAGAAACCCTGTCTCGAAAAAGCAAAAAAAAAAAAAAGAGAAGATGCCCTACAGCTGGGTTTTATGGAGGAACTCTCTTTTTCTTTCTTTCTTTCTTTCTTTTTTTTTTTTTTTTTTTTTTTTTTGGTTTTTCGAGACAGGGTTTCTCTGTAGCTTTGGTACCCGTCCCGGAACTAGCTCTTGTAGACCAGGCTGGCCTTGAACTCCCAGAGATCCGCCTGCCTCTGCCTCCCGAGTGCTGGGATTAAAGGCGTGCGCCACCACCGCCCGGCTGGAGGCACCTTCTTAATTGAGGTTCCCTCCTCCCTGATGACTTAGCTTGTGTCAGTTGATGTACAGCTATCCAGTACAGGTGTGGAACTATGTATGTGCCTTCACTCAGAGGAGTCCTTTCAAACAAAAATTAAGAGCCCCAAGACTGTGCACACTAAGAGGTAACTAGACTTGGCATTTCACACTGCAACCCACATCTCCATCCTTACGTACACCTACAGGCCACACCTGCTATAAGGACCCAGTGCCCTAGTAAAGTCCTTGCAGTCAAGGGCATTTTCCTTTTTGATTTTTCGAGACAGGGTTTCTCCGTAGCTTTTGGTTCCTGTCCTGGAACTAGCTCTTGTAGACCAGGCTGGCCTCGAACTCACAGAGATCCGCCTGCCTCTGCCTCCCAAGTGCTGGGATTAAAGGCGTGCGCCACCACCGCCTGGCTTAAGGGCATTTTCCTAAGGGTAGACTCTCTTGCTCCTTCTTTCTCAGTCTGGCAAACTGCTATTTATCCTTCAAATCCCAGCCTGTGCATCACCTCCTTTGAAGCCCTTCCTGATTCCTTCCATAAAGAGGATTCATCATCATTCCTCCTGTTTTCCAGAGCTCCAGCCAAACCTGTAACAAGACATTGTATTTTGTTTTTGAAACAGGGTTTCTTGTACCCCAGACTAACCTTTAACTCACAATGTTCACAAGATGACTTTGAGCTCTTGCTCCTCTTGCTCTCACCTACAGACTGCTAAAGTCACAGGCCTGTATCATCATGCTCAGTTTTGTGGTTACTGAGGAATGAACTCAGGGCCTCATGCAGACCAGGCAAGCACTCTACCAATTGAGCCACATCCAGTGACCTGTATTTTACTAATTTTTGGCTCTGTCTGCCTAGCAGAGGTGGTTAAGATTCAGAGGGGTTCTTATTCCCCTCTCCAGACACATGAATATCAACAAAGTGAATGAAGAGCCTGGTTTAGTGGTACACACCTATAATTCTAGCACTTAAAAGGTAGGGGCAGGAGTTCATAGTCATCCTTGACTACACAGACAGTTTGAGATCAACCTTGGCTGCCGGAGACCCTATCTCAGGATAAGTGAGTTAATTAAGGTTTGATGAGGTGTTCAGTGGGTAAAATTGATTTTTGTCTATGCTTGAGAGCCTCAGTTTGATCCTTGGAGCCCACGATAGAAAAGGAGAACCAACTCCTGAAAGTAGTCCTTTGCACTGTGGCAGGGGGATACACAGAATAATAACAAGTAAATAGTGAATAAAACTGACAGCCTTGCTGCCTATGACATAAGTCTACCTTATCCCTTTGGCCACTGTATAAACCCTTACAGGTTGATCTGGTCCTCCCTTCCCTAATGCCTCACCTTGTGTGGATATGGTCATTCTGCTTCAGTCTGAGCCAAAGAGCCTGTCCCTTGGTGACTTCACTGTACCTGCCTCAGTGATAACTAACCTCTCTTCCCCCTTGCCTTCCCAGGGCCGACGAGATCGAGATGATCATGACTGACCTTGAAAGAGCCAATCAGGTAAGCTGTTCATATCTTCAATATAAAACACCACATCTCACCCAATCTGTTATCTTGGGAGATGCCTCATGCTAAGATAAGTGATCATTTTGGAACCATTTTCATAGTATCATCAGAAGTTAGAAGTAAATCCGTAGCACTATTCGTTGGCAGAATCTCAGGTTCAACCCCAGTGTCTGAGACACAAATATATAAGGGTACTTGTTCTTTTTCTGATCCCCTGTCTCTAGTGCAATCATTCCAGGAGTGTCCAATCCATGGACCACAGGCCACGTGCATCCCAGAATAGCCATGAATAAGGCCCAACAGAAAATTTAAACTCATTAAAACATTGTGAGATTGACTGATTGATTTGCAGTTGTGCAATTCCAAAATGTGAAACATTGAAGATGACAGAGTCATCCCAATGCCAGAAGGTTGAGCATGTCTGATGCTTTGTCCACTGGCATTCATTACATAGAATTAATTGTCATCTTCTTTTAGTAGGTTCCAGCTACTTGCTCTAGTGGAACTTGCAGTGGGCAGCTCCCCTCAGCTGATACCCAGTTATCAGATATACCTTTCAGGAAATACACAGCCCAATAATACACAGAGAACAGTCACATAGTATCAGATGGTTCCAAGCACTCAGCTATCCATAAGCCCTTTTTTCACAGGTCCTACAGGGGAGTAAAACATTTTGCTTTCACAACTAATGCTGCTGGCCTCAAACTAGTTATAGAACTGAGAAAGACCTTGAACCTTGGATTCTCATGTTTCTGCCTTCCACTTGCTAGAATGGCAAGTGTGCACCATTACCTCTGCTTAATGCAGTGCTAGGAGATCAAGCCCAGGGTTTCACAAATGCTAGACAAGCATTCTGCCAACTAACTAAGCTGCATTCCAGGCAAGATTCTTTACTTGGTGGAGAAACAGTTAAAATAGAAATTAAATTTCTCAGAAGGACATGGCCTGTGGCCTCTCAATTTTACAGCTGGGTAGCCATAGGCACTGGCAAGTGTGGAATCTTGCATTGGGTCGCCCCACCCAGTGAGTTCAAGCCTCTCTGTGAAACAAAAAGCCTCCCAGAATCCCTGCAGTCCTGCTTGCCTCCTCAGGAGCTCGTTGGGAACCTGTCTTTCATAGGCACTGGTCATTCAGACTTTCACCAGCATTCAGGGAAAAGCATTGTTTATTTCTTCCCTGATAAAATTAACCTGAAGCCTAAGCAGGAAAACCTGCACAGAAGGGAATGATGATATGTATGGCTCTGATATTCCCATAGGACAATTGGGTTGGGTCAGTGGTTGGAGCTTAGGCCTTTCCTAAGGTCCTGGGTCTGACCTGTATGGGGCTTTCTTTGGAGAGTGTGGCACTGGTCACCTGAGGTCTCCTAAGTAATCTTAGCTACCCTAGCTCATTGCTGGAACCTTATCACTTCACCTGCCCTGCCTCCCCACTGAGATCCACATGGTTAGGGTTCTTATTTTACAAACAGGGAAACCCTGTCAGTGTTTGGTCCATCACTCGGCTGGGCCGAGAAACCCAGAAGTCTTACTTAAGGTTGTCGTGGCACATTTGGGGAATAGTTTGTTTCTCATTTGGTTTGGGGAGCTTTTATTTTGTTTGGTTTTAGGGGATATTGTTTTGCTTTTGTTTTGTTTAACAAGTGTGAACTTTGTAGATGACAACATTGTGTTATAATATTAAAAGAATGGGTACCCTTGGTATAGCATCTGAGAGGGGAATAAAGATGCCCCAGAAGGTTGCCTGGCTGATTTGGGGGTGGAGGATGGGGGGAATGAAAATTACCAGGTGGTAATGGTGCATGCCTTTAATACCAGCACTCAGGAGGCAGAGGCAGTCGAATCTCTCTGAGGCGAGCCTGGTCTAACTCTGACCATCCTGATAGCCAGACTTATGCAGAGAAACCCTGTCTCAGGATAAACACTGGAGTTGACATGAGGAAAGCTAGGCTGTGTGGCAGCAGCTAGAGAGTGGCCTGATAGGAAGGGCCTGGTTGGTTAGGGGGAGAGGGTCTTTATCCTGGGAGGATGGAGGTCCTGGATTTGTATTCAATTATAAGGTCACTTGGGGCTGAAGAGATAGTTCAGCCTTTAAGAGCACTTATTCCTTGTGCTGAGGACCCAAGTTTAGTTCTTAGCACCTACTCTGAACAGTTACTTAGGATCAGATAACCGATTCTGAACTCACAGAGCACCTGCACTTACACTTTCACACACACACACACACACACACACACACACACACACATCTTGTTTTGTTTTGTTTTTCAAGACAGGGTTTTCTTTGTGTAACAGCCCTGGCTGTCCTGGAACTCAATTTGTAGACCAAGCTGGCCTCGAACTCATAGAGACCCACCTGCCTCTGCCTCCCCAGCACTGGGATTAAAAGTGTGGGCCACCACAACCAGCTAAAATAAATCTTTTTAAAAATCATTAAAAAGAAATAAGGAATCACTGTAGATCAAGCTGCAATAAGGAATGGAGATGGGAAAGCCAGAAGGCAAGGGAGCAACAAGCAACCCTGGTGACAGGACAGGAGAAGACTAAAGGGCTGGACAGGAGGAGAATGGTACCCAGGGGAGCAAGGCAGAGGTAGGCTGAGCAGGAACAGGGCTGCCACAGCCACTGAGTGCCATAGGTGCCACATACATCCAGACCATGGCACTCACCCAGGAGGAGCAATTTGCTTGTTCGTTGACATTTAGTGTTGGTTTTGCCCTGGGTTTATTCCAGACATTCTGTTGAAACCCATAGTGTTGTTTCATTATTCAGGGATTATGTCTCTACCTCAGGGAACCAGGAAAATGGGCAGAGCTATTAGTAAAACAGGGGTGTCTCCTAACACATGTTTGATCAACTTCCAGCACTTGCATTAATAGTTGTCATCTTAACTGGCTACTCACAGGAAAGATTCTGGACTCCAAGAATTTCTTGATAAACAAACCTTAGCTTGGCACATCGAAGAGCATAGAGGAACCATGTCTTCCTTTCCCTATGTGGGCTGGCTGCCAGCTAGCTGTTCCTCTCCCTGTTCCCCTTCCAGAGCACTCTGATTCCTTACACAAAGCCACAGGAGTAGGGCCTAGAGGAAGCTCTTTAAGCCAAATTATTCTCCTTCTATTACCCTACTGATGTTTATGAAACAAGACTGTTGTGAAAGACCCCTTGGGCTGGGGATAGAGCTTACTTGTTTGCGTGCGTGCGTGCGTGCGTGTGTGTGTGTGTGTGTGTGTGTGTGTGTGTTTGAGAAGATTCTCCTAGCCCAGACTGGCCAAATTCACTCTGCATCTGAGGATGACTTTGAGCTCCTGATATTCCTGCCTCCACCTACCGAGTGCTTACAGGCATGCACTGCCATGCAGTTCATGCAGTTTCCTTCTGCTAGGCACACTCTACCAACTGAGGTGTATCTCCTAGCCTTGAAAGCATAGCTTAACTTCCCCAAGAAGGAAGAGCCAGGTGCTGAGAGGGTTGAGTTACAAGGGGTGGAAAGAGCTCCACAGCACTTGGCTTTGGAATCAGGACACCCAAGTTATGTTCTAGATTTGGCATTTGTTACCCACACTGACTTAGTTTGTTTTCTATTGCTGAACTAAACACCATAGCCAAAGGCAGCGTTAGGAGGAAGGCATTTCTTTCACCTTGCATGTCACAGTTCATCAGCCAAGGAACTGGAGGCAGGACCTGAAGCAGAGGCCATGGAGGAACACTAGCTTACATCCCATAGCTTGTTCAGCCTGCTTTCTTATAGCTCTCAGGATCACTGGCCCAGGGATGGCACCACCCACAGTGAGCTGGGCCCTCCCACATCAATCATTATTCAAGAAAATGTCCCACAAACTTGCCTACAGACAATTTGATGGAGGTTATTTTCTCAAATGTGTTTCCTCTTCCCAAATAACTCTAGCTTGTGTGTCAGGTTCACACACTCAAAAACTAACCAAAACCCCATTCCAGTACCCAGATATCCCCACCCATAGCATAGAGGCAGGATTTCATTCACATATACCTCCATTCATTCACCTGGCCTTAGTACCCTGCCCTTAGCAGGCCTGAGTGGGGATGTCATAGGTCAAGACCTGGCCCTCCCCATGGGGCCAGGCACATCCCCAACTGAGTTTGGCATTCCTTGGTGTGGCCCTGTCTTACATTCCTGCTCCAGGACACACAGAGAGCACCTTGGTGGCAGTCAGAAGTAGGGCAGTTTGCTCATCAGACTTCTATAGTCATACTCACATAAGTGACTTTTCCTCCTGACCTGCAGTGGCCAGCGGCACAAGCTGTGGCTCATGACCTTCTCCAGGTTCCTACAGAACCATTAACAGGGTCACTTCTTGCAGCCTCCCATGCTTCTGGTTACATTCCAGCCATCACCACTTCACACTCTAAGCTGCTTTGCTCCTGCAGAGATTTCCTTATTTCAGGTTTTCCTATACCTATATTTTAGTGGCCACATATATGGAGAATACATAAGCAAATAATCTAGAGCCAAAAGAGGCAGAAGATTAGATTAAAGGCCCCACCACCACCATATAAACCAAGGGAAGTAGCCAGATGTGGTGGCTCACACTTGTAATCACTTGAGGGGTGGGTCAGGAGTTGAGAACCAGCTTCAGCTCTCTACATAAGACCCTGCTAAGGGGGTGGTAGGTATGGGGAACGTAGCTTGGTTGATAAACTACTCACCTATTATGCACAAAGCTCTGCATTCCATCCTGGAACAATATAAACCAGGCAGGAGGATCAGGAGTTCAAGGTCTTCTTCAGCTATTTAGTCACTTTGGGGCAAGCCTGAACTTACATATAAGACCCTGTCCCAAAAACTGAAGTCATCTATCTTAGATGAGGAACATGTAGTGGCCCCAGAGATAGTCTTAATAATTTGACACTGTCACTGTGGTGTACGCAGTTACTGTTGACTTCTGCAGCCTCACTCCCCCTCCCCACATCCTTCCCTGCTGATTTTCAGAGTAGCTGTTGGCAGCTACCAAAGCTCAGCACTGCTATTGTTCTGCATTGTTCCTACCTCTACTTCTCCCTCTGTTCCAGAAATTGTTGCTTCTCAAGAAAAAGCATAAGGGCAGCCCCAGAGGGTGGCAAGTGCTGTCCCTGCCTGCTGTTCAGGAGCCTGTCCTATGTTCTGATTCTGCCTCTTCAGGGATGGGCCTGTCTAAGAACACTCGGAAGCATGCAGCCTTATGCCACCAAGTAGGGGTCAGCTTTGCATCCCAACCTCAGTCGTCAAGTTGTGGTTTTGTCAAGGGGGTGTGAGGCTCCAAATATGGAGCACGAAACCCAGGTAGCACCCCACTGTCTGCCTCAGCTGCTGGAGGAAGGCTGTATTTAGTTCTGTTGACCTGGAAACAGATCACCCCAGATGCCAACTAGTGTCTGTCACCCTGTCCCTTATGCCTTCCCTGAAATGCTCTGCTTTTCAATTCCTTTGTTCTAGAACTTTTAACTGCACAGATCTCGAACACCTTGTCAGCAGGTTGTTGTCGTTGAGAGTGCTGATGGTGGGTGTATTTTGCAATAGAAATCCTAAGTAAATGTGAAACCAAGAACTTATACTAAAGTAACCAAGTTAGGCCACCTTGGGACAGTGACTTCCAACAGAACCTCATTGATCATTATTATTTTTTTTTGGTTTGGTTTATTGTTGATATTTTCTATTTGTTTTGTTTTGGTTGTGAGACAGTATCTCATATAGCCCAGGCAGGCCTCAAACTAACTATAGCTGTAGTTTAAAGATCACCTTAAATTCTTGATCCTCCTGCCTCTACCACCCAAATGCTGGGATTACAGGTTTATACCATCATGCTCAGTTTATTCGGTGATGGGATTGAACCCCAGGGCTTCATGCATCTTATACAAGCACTTTACCTACTGAGCCACATCCCCAGACCTTTTTTTTTTTAAGTTAATAACTAGCTAAGCAGCCACCCCAGCCCTTTGTTTTTGTTGTTTGCTTTGAGATAGGGTTTTATTATGTAGACCAGGCTAGCTTCAAACTAGCATTAAAGGCATGCACCACCATGCCAAACCTGTTTCTGCTTTGCTTTTTTGAGGCTGGCTCTTTGTGTGTTACCCAGGCTGTTTTCAACCTCACTATCCTCTTGAATCATCCTCCTCCCCAGTGTTGAAGTTATAGATATTACCCTCCACACCTCACACTACTGTGACCTCGGGGACTTAATACAAATGCTGACCTTAAAATAAAACTGCAGGTAGCTAGCTGATACCTCAGTCTGTGATGTACGGTATTCTGCCACCTGGCATCTTCACAGGCTTTTAGGAGACGGGGCCAGTGTAACATGCCACTGTGGTAATGCTACCTGTTCAGCAACTATCAGAATTTCTTCCCCAATAGATGAAGGAATAGTTTTCCTTATCAAAGAGACTGGGAAATTTGTCACAATACATGCAATTCCTGAAAGAGCTGTGGGAATCGTGTACCTGAAGGTTTACCTCACTAACTATGGAGGAATATGCTTTTCAGTTATGTGTCTTAACTGTCAGAAAAGCTGGGAAAAACGGCTGTTGTCCAACTTCTTGTAAGGCTGAAGCAGAATGATGGCAAGTTCAAGACCAGACTAGGCAACTTAGCTTGTAAGAACCTGCCTCAAAACAAAAAATAAAAAGAAAGCAAGGGGGCTGGAGAGATGGCTCAGCGGTTAAGAGCATTGCCTGCTCTTCCAAAGGTCCTGAGTTCAATTCCCAGCAACCACATGGTGGCTCACAACCATCTGTAATGAGGTCTGGTGCCCTCTTCTGGCCTGCAGACATACACACAAACAGAATATTGTATACATAATAAATAAATAAATATTTTTTTAAAAAAAAAGAAAGCAGGGGATTCATATCAGTGGTAGAGTGCCTGCCTAGAATCCCCCAGTGAGAAGCTGGGAGTGTGGCTCAGTGGTAGAGACCTTGCCCAGAATTCGTCAGTGAAGAGGCAGGGATGGGTCTCTTTGGCAGAACACCTGCCTAGAATCCCCCATTGGAAGGCTGGGAATAGGACTCATTGGAAGTTAGCACAAAGCAGATATTTCTCTCTCATTCTTGTCATAATACCAAAAACTTTTCCTGACAGTTGGTTCTTTAGTCCCTTTGGTTCTCGTATCCTGTTGGTTCTCCATTCTGTCCAGAACAGAGATGTGTTAGGAAACACTTAGACATTGATGTGACAGATTCAGGGCCATTCTCCAAGCTCTGCAAGAACCAGCCTCGCCCTGGGCAGATAAACTGTCCTTAGATTCTAACTTCTTTTTGTACTCACTGCTGCCACCACCAAGGCACTTCAGCTGTCCAGCCCTGTCATTGTACAAACAGATTAAGCAGCAAGATAATACATTGTTTTTTCTTTGTGACTTCTCTTTTGGTAATTGGTGGAAAAGTCCTGCTCAACCAGACTTTCCTCATTAACCTTTCTGTTTTATTTTGTAGGTAACTTTTTTGTTTTGGTTTTTTGAAACAAGATATTCCAGTGTAGTTCAGGCTGGCCTTGAACTCACTGCATAGCCCAAGCTGGCTTTGAAATTACTGTAACTAAGGTGGTATTCAACTTGCTGTGTTGCTCAGACTTCCTTAAAAACCCACTGTATAGCCCACATTGTCCTAAAACTCAGAATTCTCCTGCCTTGCCTCTCTTAACTTTTTATGGTAACAGAATATAACTTGCCCAGGGTATAGAGAAGGGGCACTTCGTTCACAGTCCAAGTATTAATGTCATTAGCTGCCATTGTCCACCTGTCTTAGTTTTGTCTTAGTCATAATAATAAGACCTGGATAAACCCAATGAAAAATTACTTCCATGGTAAAGCCCTGTGGGAATAGAACCTAAGTTAGGTATCTGTGTAGACACAATGTTTCCATTCTACAGATGCCTGTGTAGAGGCTCCAGGAGTATACATAGGTAGCTGTCCCTACTGCCTCTCTTCCCAGATGGCCTCTTGAGTGGTAGGTACTAGAGTGGCTCCCCTCTTTGTCCAGTAGCAAGTCTGAATTTGTAGCAGTCATGGCTTCCTCATCTAGGGTCCTAGACATACTACAAAAGGTTCTAGCCATTTCTGTTAAAGCTTCCAGCACCAGCCTGGGCTGCCCACTCACTGCTGGCCCAGAACAGCCTGGCTAGCTACGTATGTCAACATTTGCAAACATTCCCCATGATGGGTTAACTGCAGAATCCAGCCCATCCCTCAACAAATGAAGCCACAGTTCCACAGACTGCTTATGGACACGTACCATGGGTGAAAACAACCACAACATTGTGTCTGTGCTGGGGAGGATCGCCAGCATGTCTTTAATTCAGTGTTTACCCATGAGAATGACTCCCAGGAGTAATCCTGTGATAAAGTCTCTTCGGTCCATGAGAATAGAAAGAAATTGAATCAGAAGACTCTATTTCCAGCCGTATTTATTCAGTCTGGGAAACGCAATGGGCCGGAGCATTAATACCAGCAGGGGATTCCTCGCTCCTAGCGTTAAATTACTGTCATAATCGCTCAATTATTTCTTCCTTGTACTGTTTAAAATAAAAATCCATCACATTCTAGGGTGTGTGCGCGTGCGTGTGTGTGTGTGTGTGTGTGTGTGTGTGTTTCCATAGCATTTATTAGGTTGAGTGTTTAGGAAAATCAATTACAGTCAGTCAGGCATGAATTGATGAATGTTCTTATAATAATTGTCAGCTGTTAAACCAATGTACTTTCTTCTCTTCACCCCTTTTTTTTTCCCTCAGAGGGCAGAAGTGGCACAGAGAGAGGCAGAAACTTTAAGGGAACAGCTTTCATCAGCCAACCACTCTCTGCAGCTGGCCTCACAGATCCAGAAGGCTCCAGATGTGGTGGGTAACCCTGACCCCGACCCCACCCTCACCCCACATCACTCCTGTTTCAACTCTTCCTTTTGGAATAATAGTTGAAGCAGGAATGGTTGTTGAATGGATGTGCTGGTTACTTTTCTCATTACTGCAACAAAAAACCTGACACAGACGCTTAAAGGACCAAAGCTGGGGTTATTTTAGTTCCTGGTTCAAGGGTGCAGTCCATCATGGCAGCAGAATTACATTGCAGTCAAGATGCAGGAATCAATGCTGTTGCTTAACTGCCTTTCTCTTTTTTCTCAACTCCAGGACACCAGCCTTGGGTGCTACCCCAATTAGGGTGGGTCTCCCCCCTCAACTAACCTGTCTCAGAACTCCCTTACAGCTATGCACAGAGGTCTCTCTGGTGCATAGATGACTCTAGATCCTGACAAGCCTACAGTATTAACCAAAATAGTTGTGAATTCTTAATGGGTTGGGGATAGAACTTGAGAAGAGCTCTGCCAATAACTCATAGGTGCCCTCGTGGGTTGCTTTGGTGTGACCGCATTGTGTGTGTACATGTCCTGTGCCAGGTGGAGGCTAGGAGTAACTAGATCTGAAAAGGAGTGCTGCCCCAGAGCTTCACAGGGAAGCAGAGGCAGTCCTTCCAGTGGGGCATAAATAGCAGCTGACCCTGGATGTATTCAGTGGTTGAACTTTCACCTGAGAAACAAACATGCAAGAAGAATGGGACCCAAAGGTCCAAACTATTGTCTTTTCTCTCTCATTTATTTTGTGAGTGTCGGAGTAGCTGCACATGTGTGAGGGTCAGTAGGAGTAAGCTTTCTTCCTTCATGGTGTAGGTTCTGAGGCTCGAACTCAGGCCATCAGGTGTACACAGGAACACTTTTATGCAAACTCATCTCACCACCCCTGCTTTCATTTTTAGTTTTGTTTTCATTTTTTGAGATAAAATCTCACTACATTGGTTCAAGCTAACCTCCACTTGGCAGTCCTTCTGCCTCAACCTCCTGTGTTCCTGGGATCACAGATATACAATAACATGCCCAGTCCCATGTGACTTTTCTCAAGTTAACAGGACTATCAAAGTTTGGTCAAGGTGGCCCTGACTGAGCAGATTCAGATACCTTTGGTGACCTTGGGTAACTGGCACTAGTGACTGAGCAACACACTAGCTAAGATGCTTAGTTCATTAGTTCAGACCCCAGCTCTGCAGTCTCTGAATTGGAGATTTGAAGCAAAGAGATCTATCTTCCTTACTCTGTTTCTCTCTCTGTAAAAAGAGGTTGTAGCTGGGCATAGTGTCAAACATGTGTAATCCAATCTCTCGGGAAGTAGAACCAGGAAGATGTGGAATTCAAGGTCATTTTTAGGTACCTAGCAAGTTCAAGACCAGCCTGAGCTATATGAAACCCAAACTCAAAAACAAAATTAAACAAAAGAAAAACTTCAGGAAGCTGAGGCAGGAGGATTGGCAGAATTGGCCAGGCTAGGCTACATAGCAACAAGACCCCTATCTCAAAAGTAATAATAGTACTAATTGTAGAGTGCCCTGACCATTTCAGGGTGTGGTAGAAAGGTTCTTGTGCAGGAGACTGTCACTTCCTTCACAACTTCAGGAACACAATAACTTATTTTTCTCTGAAATGACCCCTTTATTCTTCCTTGCCCAGATGTAAATGCCCTGGGAACTGCATCAGGGCAGAGGCAGGCCAAAGAGCCAGGACCAGCAGCTTCCCAGCTTCTGTGGCTGCCCTTGGTCAGGAGGAAGCCATTCATCCTAACATGTCTAACAGGACTTCTGAGCTGAATGTTTGGATTACAAAGAATCCTGGCACCTTACTGGGCCACAGCAAACCCAAACATTCCAGAAGGAAATGAATGTTTTTGCAGGTCGAGTCAGTTGTGGGGCCTGAGGTGGCTTCCACACTTCATCATGGCTAAGTGCAACATTGACCTGGCCTGGCTTTAGTCTCCCAGCCACAGTGAGCAGGGACTTCCCTATCTGTACCTTCCCGTGGAGGCCACCACAGGCACGGAGCCAGGAGGAAAAAATGGTCTGTTGGGCTTGGCTGGCAGAACTAACTGGGAAAAGGTAGAATTCATGGCTGTAGCAGAGCCGGAAGCAGTGCTTTGGCTGTCTCGCATGAGCATGAGACATCCACCGTGCCAAGTAGTCCACAGCCCCTTTTCTTTCACCCATCCACTTGTCATTCTTTCATGGGCACTGAGCAATACAGGATACTCAAAAGAGTCCTTGTGAATGTCTACAGACAAATGTTAGTTCAAGGAACCGTTGGAGCTCACCTGGCCATCCTTTAGAGCCTAGCAGAACTGGAATATTGGAAAGCAAGGCCACCTATGTGGCAAACATCTGATCCACCCATCTAACCTTGCTCTCCAAGTGGAGACAGGAACTGAAGTACAGCACAAAAGAGAAGCAAGTATGGTATGAAGAAGTTCAAAGCCAGCCTCGCTACATAGCAAGTCCAGCCTGAGGTACATTAGAGCCATCCTCATTAAACCAAAATGCAAAAGGAAAATACTGGGAGTCAGTTTGCTAAATAACATACTTGTTGTAGGTAAGAGAACATTGGGTCCCACTACAGGATTAAAAAAAAAAAAATCCAAGTGTTTCCACAAAGGTCTAGATACTGTCATCTGAACCTCCCTCATTGCTGTTCCTCTGGCTTTCTCCACCAAATAACACCTCACACCCTCCAGGTCTCTGCTCACATATCTCTATCTCAGTGAGACTTTCTTGGACCAATCTATTTTAAAGTATGAGCCTTTTTCTAGGCGGTTGTGGGACATGCTTTTAATCCCAATACTTGGGAGGCAGACGCAGTTCTCTGTGAGTTCGAGGCCAGCTTGGTCTATAGAGTGAGTTCCAGCCAGGACTACACAGAGAAACCTTGTCTTTGGAAAAGTAAATAAATAATGATAATAATCGCCTTTCAATGCACATCGTTAATCCCAGATCTAAGCAAGCAGAGAAAGGTGGCTTTCTATGAGATCCAGGCTAGCCTAGGCTTACGTGGTGAAACCCTACTACTGAATAGAGAACCTCTCTAACTTTAGCTCTCATACCCTCTCTACTTCGAATTTTCTGTAGTTCTTGGCACCACCTCACATATCACAAATCCGTGTTTTTTGTGTAGCTAACTCATCCAGCCCCACTAGACTAACCCTGCAAAAGTCAGACTTTCATGCTTCAGTTCAGTTGCCCCATGCCCAGTACAAGGTAGATTCTAAGACAATATTTGCCCAAATAACAGATCCAGGTGACAGCCATGCAAAGGCAGGAAGTCATGTCTGGCCCTGAAGCTTGCTGTGTGCGCCTCTGTATCTGTGCGACTTTGTAACTATGCCTCAGTTGCAGGTGGGCAGGTCCCTGAGCTCCCTACTCTAGAGCCGGTGCTGTTTCGTCATTGCTTTCTTCTTCCCAGGAGCAGGCCATGGAGGTGCTGACCCGATCCAGCCTGGAAGTAGAGTTGGCTGCCAAAGAGCGGGAGATTGCCCAACTGGTGGAAGACGTGCAGCGACTCCAGGCCAGCCTCACCAAACTGCGGGAGAATTCTGCCAGCCAGATCTCACAACTGGAGCAGCAACTGAGTGCCAAGAATAACACACTCAAAGTAAGAGCATGGAAGGGGATGCGAGCATGTACATGGTGGGGTTAGGAAGCGTGGATGAGCTTTCATGACCATGTTGGCCCACACTACTGTGGCAACCTTGAACCCATGTCAATTCTGAACAAAGTCCTAGGTCTCTGAGACAAGGAAACTGAGTCTGACTTCACTACCATCCCTGACATTTCCTTCTCAGGGTACCACACCCCTACAACACAGAGGTCCCTGATGCTTTGGCCCATACCTGCCTGCTCCTGTCTGCCCACTGCACTGCTTTACCACCTGGGACCTCCCAAGCCTACACACCACCCAGTGCTGATGGGCACTTCTTGTGGAGAACTTGGTGGTCAAATCTTACAGTCAAGGCCATCCCAGGGCACAAGAGTAGGCTTGGCTGACTGGCCAGCAAGTCCCAGTTATCTACCCACTTCTGGCTCCCACGCTAGGATTAAAAGCATGCCTCCATGCCCAACTTTCTTTTTTTTTTTTTTAATTTATTTATTTATTAAGGATTTCTGCCTCGTCCCCACAACCGCTTCCCATTTCCCTCCCCCTCCCCTGATCAAGTCCCCCCCCTCATCTGCTCGAAGAGCAATCAGGGTTCCCTGACCTGTGGGAAGCCCAAGGACTGCCCACCTCTATCCAGGTCTCGTAAGGTGAGCATTCAAACTGCCTAGGCTCCCACAAAGCCAGTACGTGCAGTAGGATCAAAAACCCACTGCAATTGTTCTTGAATTCTCAGTATTCCTCATTGTCCGCTATGTTCAGCTAGTCCGGATTTATCCCATGCTTTTTCAGACCTAGGCCAGCTGGCCTTGGTGAGATCCCAATAGAACATCCCCATTGTCTTAGTGTGTGGGTGCACCCCTGGTGGTCCTGAGTTCCTTGCTCGTGCTCCGTCTCCTTCTGCTCCTGATTTGGACCTTGAGATTTCTGTCCGGTGCTCCCGTGTGGGTCTCTGTCTCTGTCTCCTTTCATCGCCTGATGAAGGTTAATATTCCTGAGGATGCCTATGTGTTTGTCTTTGGATTCACCTTATTTAGCTTCTCTAGGAACATGAATTATAGGCTCAATGTCCTTTATTTATGGCTAGAAACCAAATATGAGTGAGTACATCCCATGTTCCTCTTTTTGGGTCTGGCTTACCTCACTCAGGATAGTGTTTTCTATTTCCATCCATTTGTATGCAAAATTCAAGAAGTCCTTGTTTTTTACTGCTGAGTAATACTCTAATATGTATATATTCCATACTTTCTTCATCCATGCCCAACTTTCTTATGTGGTTTCTGGGGTAGGACTTAGGTCTTTAGGCTCATACTACAAGGACTTTACTGACTAAGCCATTTCTCCAGCCCTTTTTCTTTTAATGTTTTGTTTTGGTTTTGTTTGTTTTGCTTTTTGATACATGACCAACTTTAACCTAGAACTCAGTTTTGCTTCTGGTTTGTGGCTAATACCAGCAGCACCCACAGCTCTGCCAGGATATTTTCTCCTTTGCTTCTCTAGCAGGGGTATCTTCCATTTGCTCGTACAGTGCCCAATGCCCAGGTGTTCCTGAGGAGGAGACCCTGGACTTGGGAAGATGACTCAAAACCCAGCATTTCCTCCTCTCAGCTTGCCCAGCTGGCAAGTGTGAGAACTCAGGTCTGAGGTCTTGGCCCAGTCTAACTTAAGGTATTATCATCACTTCTGACCTGGTGATGGCATCATCATCATCTGCTCATTTGTCTGTGTCTCCTCTGTCCCAGTCAGGGCTTGACTCAGACGTATCCTGCTCATGGTTCCCTGGCAGAGCTGCAAGCTGTCAGCCCTCCAGTTCTCATACAGAGCAATTTCGTCTAAATCAGTTAAGGCTCTAATGTTTGCCTTCACACACACACAAAGTGAAACAGAGTTGCACAAATTAATGTTCTTATCGTGTCTTGGGGGAATTCTTTAATACTGCGTAGTTAATGAAACAATCCAGTGATACTTCTTTCCAAAATCATCCTTCCTTCCCTTCGCCTGATCTAATAATCAAAACATATCCTCTAGTAATGAGCCTTCTGATTTTAATTATCTTAACCCCTTGCTGCTAGGAGTAAAGATGGCTCCCATACATATCAAAGCCCCATACAGAAGACCTCAGAGGTCTCCAAATGGGCAAATGCCCTAAGTTTGATTGAATAAGGTAACGTCTCAGGGTTTGTTTTTAGACTTGAGAGGTATTTATCTGTATTTAAGACAGGTTTTTACAATATCACTTTGACTGGCCTAGAATGCTATGTAGACCAGGCTAGCCTTGAACTCACAGATAGCGACCCACTTGTGTCCCCTAGGTGCTGGAATTAAAGATATGTTCCACTGTGCTCAGTCAGGGCTTCTTTTTATGTGCATAATTTATAGTGTCTGACATAAACTAAATGTAGATATAATCATTAGGAAGATACTTTATGAATATGATCTGTTACCTTATCAACCTATCACCTGATGCTTCTACAATGAGGAACTCTGACCTAATAGTCACAGTCCCTATAAAGCTACAAGGTACAAATGGTGGTTTATTTTACCCTACTGTGTCTTCCTCCTTTCTCCTTCCTCCCTTCTCGCTCCTTCTCCTTCTTTTTCTTTTTCAGACAGAGTCCCATGCACCAATTTGACCTGAAATTCACTGTGTAGCCAAGGCTGACCTTGATTTCCTAATCCTCCTGCCTCAGCCTCCCAAATACTAGGACTATACGTGTGCATCACCATGTCCACTTACTATGGGATTTTTCTTCCTGGGTTGTCTTTTCTTCCCATTGTCTCCCACCCCTTCACTCATTTGTTGTTATTGCTGTTTGTTTGCTTTTGTTTATTTGTTTGTTTGTTTTTTGTTTGGTTTGGTTTTCTTTCTTGTACCATATTTTTTTTTTAAGTTTGGGGGGACTCCCAAAGATGTGCTGAGAGATTGGAGTCAGGGTGCAGCCTAGGAGGGGCACTGTAGCTTCCAGCAGGAAGAACTGCTGGTGGTTTTCCTATCATATTATACATCCTTAATCTTTGAAACAGATGAGTCTGCTAACACAGTCACTTTGAGAGAGCAAGTCATACACAGTTGAGGGCTTTGTGGTCAAGACAGGGTCTCATATATCCCAGGCTGGTCTCAACTCACTTAGTAGCCAGTTCTGACCTTGAACATCTGCCTCCACCTATGGAGTACTAATATGTACAGGCATACCACACTATGCCCTGTTTATGTGGTGGTGTGGTGCTGGGGATGGAACCCAGGGCTTCATGCATGCTATATAAACATTCTACCAGATGAGCCACACTCCTAGTCCATGGGCAGAATCTTTTTTTTAATATTTATTCATTATGTATACAATATTCTGTCTGTGTGTATGCCTGCAGACCAGAAGAGGGCACCAGACCCCATTACAGATGGTTGTGATCCACCATGTGGTTGCTGGGAATTGAACTCAGGACCTTTAGGAAGAGCAGGCAATGCTCTTAACCTCTGAGCCATCTCTCCAGCCCCCATGGGCAGAATCTTGAATCCTCACATTGGTGATTTTTTTTTTTTACCAATACATTTAGCTGGTGTTGTCTATAATTGGGCATCCCAGGTAACTGATTAATTGCTTCTCATACCCCAGCATGTTGAAACTTACCATCTTTTCTCCACCATGAGGTTTCATATTTACTAATTCCTCTTGGCCAATGTTCTACTCTTTCATACAAACATTACAGTTAGCTCATCACCATCCATGTCTTCTCACCTTTAAGTGTAGAAATTGGCTTGTGAGCGAGAAGTGTTTCACAGTCTGACAAGTGCTCAGCAGCACTGTGCTACTTGTGGTGGATAATTCCGAGTTCATAATTAATGCAGTAAACCAGCCACCATGACAGGCAGCTACTTTTGATAACTGTTCCATGGTTTTGTTCCAGCACTCTTCATGAAGAAGCAGTACAATTAGCCAGTCACCTATATCGTCCTCAGTGTGGCAAGGAAAATAAAGTCACTAGTACCTTCAATTAAAAATGAGTGTTTACAGAAAAGGCTAGCAAGTCTCAGGCTTAGTTGTTGATTGAATGCTTGTGTAGCTGGGTTCTGTCCCCAGCACTGCATAAACTGGGTGTACTCGTGCATACCTAAATCTCTGCATTCTAGAGGTAGAGGTAAGAAGATTGGACATCCACAGTCATCCTTGGATATAAAGAAAGTTCAAGGCCAGCTGGGCTACATGAGACTCTTTCTCAAAACAAAGAGATATGAGCTAAGACTTAATTAGGCACTCAATTTATAAAGATACTATGTTAGGCCAGCGAAGTGGCTCGATGGGTAGAAGACCTGCCAGACAGCCTGTGTTTGATCCGGTTGCATGGAGCAACTGAAGCCACTCCTATCTAAGGAGACAGGGCCTGGCCAAAGGCACTGAAGGTCACCCTCTGCCAAGCTCCTAGCACTTTGTCTTTCCAGAATGAAAAATGTCACTGAAATAACAAAATAACTAGTGGGATCTTCTCTGTAAAACTTTCCAGTTAAAACATGAAATTTCAGTAGAAGCTATTTAGTTCCTGCTGAGCACTGCTAATACCAAACTAGAACACACTAGCCATGTGGCTCAGTGGGTAAAGGCTCTTGACTGCAAGCCTGACAACTTGAGTTCAACACTGGGATCCACACAAAGGTCAAAGAACACACCCATATCCATACATAATATAGTAGTAGTAGTAGAAGTAATTTTTTTTATTTTATTATATTTTTTTAATTATTTTTTAATATTGGGGGTTTATTTTGTTTCTTCTTGGGTTTTGGAGGTGTTTTGTTTTGTTTTTTGTTAGTTTGTTTTTTGGTTTTCAAGACAGGGTTTCTCTGTTACAGCTCTGGCTGCCCTGGAACTCACTCTGTATACCAGGCTGGCCTTGAACTCACAGACATCCACCTGCCTCTGCCTCCCGAGTGCTGGGATTAAAGGCCAGGTGCATACGGCTTCCAGGCTGCTGAGATGGCTCAGCAGGTGAAGGTACTTTCCACACAAACCTGGCAACCTAAGTTCAACCCCAGGACCCACATAAAGATGGAAGAAAAGACCACACTCTACAAACATTGCCCTTTGGCCTCCACATACGTATCATGGCACATGGGGCCCCACACATAAGTCACACAAATACACATACATACAATACTAATACAATACTAATACAATACTAATACAATACTGCCTCTCCCGTCTCTGCTTCCCGGGATTACAGGTATACACCACCATGCAGTTTGTGTGCTGCAGGGGATGGAACCCAGGGCTTCATGCACTCTGCCAACTGAACTATTTCTCCAGCCCTCTTTTTTATCAGCCTCATCACTGGATAACCAACTGTGTAATACACTTAACAGTAACAAGAATCTCAGCCCTGGGAGGCCTAGAGGTAGCTCCCACCCGTTCTTTCCTCATAGGACACTTTGGCCCCTTGTAGCTGCTCTCATTTTATGGAGGAGTAACATATCAGCTGCCCCAAAGATGCCTGGCTTATAAGAGACAGGCTGACACTCATGCTGGTTGGCCTTGTTAGGCTGTGACACACCACATCTCTGTCCCTCTTTCTGCCTTCCTTCCTACTTTCTGCCATTCTCTGGAGGTGACTTGATGTTTGTGTTCACATCTGGCCTCTCCGAAACACTGCAGATAACACTTTTCAAGGGTGGGCGGTACATTAGTACTTCCTGCTATTTGACTGTAGGGAAAGGAATGAAATAATGACTTCTTTCAGAACACCTTCTGAGAGTCTTTTATGGGAAAATGAGTGCCTACCAGCCTCCGTTTGATTGTCCCTGAGAAAACCATTATAATTTAGAAAGTTAGCAAAAAATATTTAAAAGGGAACGAAGTGGAGCAATTTTATGCAATGGGAAATACACATGAACTTTGTCGGCAGAGGCAATGGAAGAAAATGAGCTGAGTGGATGTCAGTAAGAGAAAGCAACAGTCTGCTTGGAACTCTAGCTAGGTTCTGATACACATAGGCTTTGAAGCTGATGGGCCAAGTAAGCCTTTCCTCCTCAGGTTCTAGAATGTTTTCCACTGGTCTCAACCAGAACCCAAAGAGACACCTAGAAGCTCCATAAATAGTAAGGTGCTAGCTTCTGAAACCCTGGGATTTTTTTTTTAGTTCAAACTTGGAAACATGATAACTCACAAGGATCCTGCCCTGCAGACTCATGGCTTACCTGGAGTGGACCTGAGACTTGCCACATGACCCTAGGAAAGCTTTTTGGTATAAAGATAGCCGTGGAAGTGTCCCACAAGCTTACATTGTATTCTGGAACACTTAATCATATGATCACTCTGGAAATACATTGTCTTGCCCCAGAGGGCAGTGGGGCCAGTCCCTGTCAGTCAGAGCCATTCCCATAAGAATGAAGCTGGTTTACAGTGAGCCACACCACAGACCTGGCCTCTGTTCCCCAGATCCTAATATCTAAGTCTCCCAGAGTGAACGTGCTTTCTTCCTGGTGCCTATCTAGCCTTCCAATGAATAGCTGAGGGCTGATTCCACCGAAATTGCAATTTTACCTGTACCCTCCAGGCAGTCAAACACATTTGTTCAAAAACCACATGATACCTCTGGAATGTTAGGAACAGGGCTCACCCTGCTTCCGTCTACTGGCATTTATTATACACATTGGGATATTTCTAGCTTCGTGAGACTTTTTCCTTCTATCACTGAGTTTTGCACTAAAACCTCTGCTTGTGTGTCCATGCACACACACATGTACACCCACACCAGGTCACAGAAAGAGAAGAGAAGCTGGCTCCCATGTTGTTGGCTCCCTGAATACAGAGTTGCTCATAGGGATTGTAAAGTCTGGCAGCCTCCCTTAAGACATGGTTACTAATAAAACTTCTGTTTTCAGCAACTGGAAGAAAAACTCAAAGGCCAGGCTGACTATGAAGAAGTGAAAAAAGAGCTGAAGTAAGTATGGAGAAACATGGGCCTTCTAGGACTATCTACTGATGGGTGCAAAGTAGTACCCAAATCCAGAGCCACCCAGAACTTTCTGTTCTAACTCAAGCCTCTTGCAGGGTTTTGTTGGTTTGTTGGTTGCATGGGTGGGTGGGTGACTGATTGTTTTTTGATTGGGTCTCATGTAGTCCAGACTGGCCTGAAACTCCATATATATAGCCAAAGTGATCTTGAACTCCTGGTCTTCCTGCCTCCACCTCCCAAGTGCTGGGATTACAGGCATGTACTACTACATCTGCTTTATGCTGTGCTAGGGTAATCCCAAAGCCTTGTGAATGCTAGGAAAGCAGCCTACCAGCTAAGCCACATCCCCATCCTTCTTTGGACGTTATGAGACTGTATTTAAAGTATTCCAGCATGCATGTAGCCAGAGCAAATGCCACCTTACAGCAATTGTACAGTCTGAGCTTGTTTGTCAAGTGTCAATCCCCCAAGCAGACACAGAGTAAAACATTTTTCCATTGAAATCTCAGGGCTTAATACTATAGGGCCTCCTGTACTCAGAACTACCCATCTTCTTCCAGATTCCATTCCCTGCCAGAAGCCAGTCTTTTTCGGTGCTAATACCTGCGTTTGAAAGCTTAGAAGTTCTCTTCTGGCCCCTTCTACCTCTGACTCCTCCCCCTGAGCCTGCATGGCATCCCCAGCTCACTTACGCTGTCCTAAACCCCCATGTGCAGTCAGTACACAGGGCTCCCCCTTTACCCCTACTTGGCTATCTCTAAGAGTAGTCTATGCTGTGAGTAATCTCTATAGGTGCCCGTCTTTGCACCATGATTTACAGTCAAGGTGGTGCCTCCAAGGCCCTTCTTGACCTCTCCCACCCCGACCCCAGCTGGACCATGTAGATGCCTTGCTCCTTTCATTTTACCTGGAATCCCTCCATATTATAATGTTCCTTTTCTTGTTACTATGACAAAATCCATAACAAAAACAAAAGCAACTTTAGGAAGGAAAGAAGGTCGTATCTTGACTCAGAATCAGAGGGTATAGTCCATGGTGTCAGGGAAGGCATGGTGGAGGAGCAAGAAGTGGCAGGACACACTGCATCCACAGTCAGGAGGCAGAGAGGTGAATGCTGGTGCTCAACTTACTTTCTCCTTTTATTCAGTGCAGGTCCCAAGACCCAGGGATAGTGCCATCCATATTCACAATGAGTCTTCCACCTCAGTTAACCCAGTCTAGAAAGTCTCTCATAGATGAATGCGGAGGTATGCCTCCTAGGTGACTGTAGATCCTGTCAGGTGTTGGGCTCCACCTCTTGTCTATCTGTGGGAAATCTAGACTATCTGCCTAGTCTGTGTCCCCTTCTTCCCACTTTCATTTTTCCAGTTACCCTCACTTTCATCTTCTGAGACAAGCCTACCCTCACAGCTTTATTCTCTATAAATCCCAACTTCCTTTTGCTTGCTTGTGACCTCCTTCAAACTAATGGTGAGACTCCTACATTGCTTCCCTCCACCTCTGTCCTCAGCACACTCTTCCTTTACAGGCTCTCTCTTCTCCTCTCTCCTCTCCTCCCCTCTCTCTCTTCTCCTCTCTCCTCCCCTCTCTCTCCTCTCCTCTCCTCCCCTCTCTCCTCTTTTCTCCTCCCCTCTCTCCTCTTCTCTCCTCCCCTCTCTCCTCTCTCCTCCCCTCTCTCTCCTCTTCTCTCTTCTCTCCTCCTCCCCTCTCTCTCCTCCCCTCCTCTCCTCTTCTCTCCTCTCCCCTCTCCTCTCCCCTCTCCTTTCCTCTCTCCTCTTCTCTTCCCCTCCCCCCTGTCTACCAGCAGCTTCTTAAATAAACCCCTAAGCACCCCCCACCATTCCTTTCCTCATAAGCTCTGCATTCCCAACTCCACTTCCAGCTTAGTGACATGTATTTTTACCTGGTTTGTCCTTCTGTGACTTCCTTATTTGTCCTTCCTTTTCCCAAAAAAAAAAAAAAAACGAAGAAGGGCCAGTGAGATAGCTCAGCCTGGATGTTCTGAGTTCTGTCACAAGAACCTACCATGGAAGGAGAAGACTGAAACTCAAAAATTTTCCTCTGACCTCTATGCATGTAGTGTGGCACATGTGTGCCCCACACACAAATAAACAAACAAATAATAAATAGATGAATGGCTTCAAGGTAAGCTAGGTGCATGGTATAGTGGTGCTTGCCTATAATATCAGCTCTTGGAAACGTGAGGCAGAGAATTATGAGTCCTGGGCCAACCTGGGCTACAAAAGCCTGGTGATGCTTCAAGAAAAAAAGGAAGGAAGAAACTGAGCCTTCTAGTTTTGAGCCAAAGAATGCAGCAGGCATGTTGACACGCATCTATAATATATAATATAAGTACTCAGGAGGACCAGAAGTTCAAGATCATCCTCAGCCGCATAGAGAATTCAAGACCAGATGACTGCTTAAGATCTTGTCTCAAAACGCAAAACAAAAAGAAAAGCACTGTTGTGCAATTCTTGGCCCTACTGATAGACACACACATACACATACATACCTACCCCATGGCTAGACCCCTTCCTCCAAGCTCAGCCCCGTGTTTGAGAATCTGTTTTTCCACGACTACTACCCTCAGGTGACATTTTTTAAAAAATACTTTTTTTTTTTATAGGGCTCTCTATTATTTAGTTCTGGCTATCCTGGATTTACTATGTAGACTAGGCTGGCCTCCAACTCACAGAGATACACCTGTATCTTCCTCTCAAATGCTGGAATTAAAGGTGTGTACTACCACACCCAGCTGTTTTTAAAAATACTTTTTATTATTTATTGACAATTTCATACATTTGTACATGTATCTTGTCCTTGAAGGGAGAGCCACGGATTGCATAATCTGATCACTGTGAGCCTTGTTAATCCACATAGGCTTTAATTTTTTGTTGCATTTATTTATTGTGTATGTAGGCACACATGTGTAGAAGTTGTGTGTAGGCACACGTGTAGAAGTTGTGTGTAGGCACACGTGTAGAAGTTGTGTGTGGGGGTACACATGTGTAGAAGTTGGGAGAACTTTCAGGAGTCCGTTTTCTATTTTGTGGGTTCTGGGATTGAACAAGATTATAAGGCTTGGCAACAGGAGCATGGGTTTTGTTGTTTTTTTTTAAAGATTTATTTATTATGTATACAACTTTCTGCCTCCACACGCCAGAGGAGGGCGCCGGATCTCTTTACAGATGGTTTGGAGCCACCATGTTGCTGGGATTTGAACTCAGGACCTCTGGAAGAGCAGACAGTGCTCTTAACCACTGAGCCATCTCTCCAACCCCAGGAGCATGGGTTTTAAAGGGAATATTTGGCGCATTCTCAGAACCCCATAGACTCATTTCCCCTCTTCTTCCTGGTCCTGGCAGAATGAAACATTATAGCAGAAAAGAACATGGCAGAGCTAGGGAGAGGGCTCTGTGAATACAGGGACACTGTGTGTAAGCATGAGGGCCTGAGTTCCATCCCTAGTGTTCATATAAAATGCCAGACAGGACAGTATGTGCCTATAATTTAAGCACCAGGGAAGCAGAGTCAGGAGGACCCTTGGTTTCACTGACCAGCCAGTCACTCAACATCAACCTTTGGCATCCACATTGCATTTGTACACATATGTGAACACACATGTCTGTCACACACACACACACATACAATGAGAACATAAGGTCCATGATCCTGATCTGCTTGTAGCTCCTGGCTTGTTCAGACAGTCCAGAGCCCCAGTTATCTATCTGGACACAGCCTGAATTGATTGCTAAGGAGACAGTGAAGCAGTTATTTTGTCCTTCACCACATCTGGGGCTGCAGAGGTCTGTTCTGATTCTAAGCCACCCCATCTCTTTCCTCATTTCTAAGCAAGCACCAGTTCCCAGAGAGCACATGAGCAGTGACCGTGGGTGATGAGTTCCTCTCCTTCTTCCCTCCCCTCATAGAACTTCCCATTTCCTATAAACTTTACAAATCCATTCAGCTTGCAACAATGTGATATCTGTATTACACTGTAAAATGAGTCTGAGCAGACCCGGTGTGACTTCATATGGAGCGATTTACATGCTGGGCCAAAAAAAAACTTTTGCTAACCAACTGCTAGTTGAAGACTAGCTCTTCTAGGGGCATTATCAAATTCAATTTCTGCCAGGGAAGTTGTTAAAGTTGTTAGTTCCTCTGTGCCTGCATAGCAGGAACCAGCGCGTTAATGCCTATAGAGAGGCCACTAATAAAGGGAATAGTTGAAAGTAACAATGTGTCTTGCCTTTTTCAGCACCCTGAAGTCCATGGAGTTTGCACCATCGGAAGGAGCAGGGACACAGGTACACCAGCTCACTTTGTTCCCAGGGTGGTAGCAGCAGCTGCTGGTCACTGCTGGTCCCTGGGGCTCACATCTGCATCTTCATGTTGTTAAGAGGGGCCTTGCTTACAGCTGCCAAGTCTTTCCTCAAGAGCATTTCACCAGCTGAGCCTGGTAGTGCACACCTGTCATGCCAGCACTTGGGAGGTGAAGGCAAAGGATCAGGAGTCTGAGGTCAACTTCAGCTATTCCATGATATACTGTCTCAACAACAATAAAAAGAAAATAGAGAAGGGTGAAAGGATGGATTAATCCTTGTTGTTGGGCCTGAGACTCAGTTGGTTAGGATGCTTGCTTACCTAGTATCATGAAGCCCTGGTTCCATCTCCAGCACTGACAGAATAAATGGGGCATGGTTGATTAGGACTGTCATCCCAGGACTTTGTAGAGACAGGCGGCCAAAAGTTCTAAGTCCACCTTGACTACTCAGTGAGTTTGAGACCAATCTTGGGTCCATGAGACTATCTTTAAAAGCAATAACAAGACTTGACTGAGTAAAAGCTAATCAGCCTCAGTAAAGAAAGGGCTAGTGTTTGCCAGGCTACTCAGTGGGCCCTGGGTGTGACTTCATTTGGGGCATATGCTGAAAACACAGATGAAAAATAATTTCAGGCTAGATATGGTAACACCTTTAATCCAGCACCTGGGAGACAGTAGCAGACAGATCCTGTGAGTTCTAGGCCAGTCAGAACTACATAATATGATTCTGTCTGAAAAGTAGTAACAAGAATAATTTCAGGGGCTGGGTTGCAATTCAGTGGTAGCGTGTGTGTTCAGTGTGTGTGAGTCCTTTGGGTTCAATTCCAGCACCAAAAACAACATCAACAAATATTTGAGGTTGTGTTAAAGATCAACTCATAAAAAAGTTTGGCCTGGAAATTAATAGTGTACTGCCTTAGTGTTAACTCAGGGGACATGTGACAGTGGTACCCTGTTATCTAGCAGCCACTTAAAGTTTACATCTCTAATATAATAATAATATCACATACCTGTAATACCAGCACTCATGAATACAGCCTGGAAGATCCGGAATTCAGGGCCAACCTGGGCTACACAGCAAGTCCAAGTCCAGCCTAGACTATGTGAGACCATGTTATATACACACAATATGTTAAATATATCATAAAGCCAGAAGTGATGATGTATCCATAGTCCCAAATACTGTAAGACTGAAGCAAGAAGATCACCTGAGCCCAGTACTCTGAAGCAACAAAGCAAAACAAAAGGAAAAGTTTTCTAAAATATATAGAACCTACATCACAAGTATAGTCTTGTTCCCATTATCCAGAAGGCATAACAGGTTCCTCATTGCTTTCTCACAGGGTTAGCAGCTTATCTTATTGCCAAATGATGTCCATGCTTAGACTGTGAGCATTTGGGAACTGCATAGAAAATAATTGTCAACTAGGAAAGTGGCTCAACAGGTAATACACTTGTCCTGTCTGAGCCAGAAGTTCAAATCCCAGAAACCACCATGTAAATGCTAGGTGGGCATGATGGCTTACCTGTTATTCTAGTCTTGGAAGGAAGAGACAAGGGATTCCCCAGAGCAAGCTAGCTAGTGAGACTAGCTATGTCAGCCAGCTCTGAGTTTTATTGAAAGACCCTTCCTCAGTCAATAAGGTAAGTGATTGAGGATGATGCCTGAGATCAACCGTGGGGCGTCTACATGCATGTGTGCCCACGTGCAGGTGTATATATACAGACACCACACATATATACACACATGAAAAACGGGGGAAGGATATCTGAGTCTAAAGACAAAAATCATGTCAACTTTTTGTAAGGACCTTGAGTTTTTTTCCCTTGTGGAAGTCAAGTCAGTAATGCATGTTGCAGGGTCATGGAAGCTGAGTTGGGGAGTGGATGGGTTCAAGGTGGCCCCACGGTGATCCCTGCTCTGCCCTGTGCAGGACTCTACCAAGCCCCTGGAGGTTTTACTCCTGGAGAAGAACCGCTCGCTGCAGTCTGAGAATGCCACGCTGCGCATCTCCAACAGTGACCTGAGCGGTAGGTGGATGGGCATCACACACGTACTATGCTTGGTTCACTTCCAGGGGTCAAGGACAAGGAGGGTGAAACTTTCGTCTGGGTTTGTGTGTGCATGATGGGAGCGCCGCTGGGTGACCAGAGACTTGTTGGACTAACAACCCTGAGTGTAAACAGTATCCCTTACCGCTTTGCCCCACCCCTTTCTGCAGCGAGATGCGTGTGCGCCGCCACAGCAAATCTACGGGGTCAGCTAGGGGCCTTTTGAAAAGGTCCCAGGAGGGACACCCTGAGGATGTTGGCTTTCTAATCTTCTCTTAGTTGGTCTATGAACAGGCCAGGGGTAAAAGCACACATGGTCTCCCTCTGGGTACGCTCCAGGGTGTGCTTTGAGAGGTCGCCGGCCCTCTAGTGGTACTTTTCTTTCTCGATGAGGTTTTCTTTGGGGACACAGTCCATCCCCCATCCTTAGCCTCTCCTTTGCTCATCCTAAAATGGCAGAGTCACTGGCTGCTTTTGGATTTAGCAGCTGGTCAAAGTGTGTAACTGTTATCTGGACTCCAGTGGCATTGCAGTTCTTAAAATGTGTGCGACTTCGATCAAGGGGACTCAATGGGTGCATCTGCCTCAGAGCATGTGGTGTGAGCGATCCCATAGGTCCCCAAGTGTCAGTGTTTGCTGGTCCTCAGGCAGAGCCTTTGGTGGTAACTGCAGTGCTAGAAGCCCCAAGACCTGTCACCTCTTTCCTATGTGTGTTACTAGAACCTTTGTCAAGGGGATTCTCCCGGCTGCAACATACAAGAAAGGTGCAAACACGAATGCATGTGGCTTGTTTTGGGGGGCCTCATTTGGCTGATTCACAAATTCAATTGAAAAATAAACCAACACACCACTTTGGCCCTTGTTTAAAAAAAAAAAATTAAAAAGAAAAATCTGCACTTTTTTTGTGGGGCACACTTTGCATTCTGGTCTTGGTTTTTTTTCCCTTTTGAATCCCCCATAATGCATTCTGTTTGCCCTTCCTTGTAGGGTCAGCCAGGAGAAAAGGGAGAGACCAGCCTGAGAGTCGGCGCCCGGGACCCTTGCCGGCCTCCCCTCCTCCTCAGTTGCCCCGCAACACGGGGGAACAGGTTTCCAATACTAACGGTACACACCACTTCTCACCAGCGGGGTTAAGTCAAGACTTTTTCAGCTCAAACCTGGCCAACCCCAGCCTACCCCTGGCTTCTACAGGAAAGTTTGCACTAAACTCTATTCTCCAGCGACAGCTAATGCAGTCCTTCTACTCCAAGGCCATGCAGGAAGCCGGAAGCACAAGCACGATTTTTTCAACAGGTCCTTACAGCACAAACTCCATATCTTCCCCAAGTCCATTACAACAAAGCCCAGATGTAAATGGCATGGCCCCATCTCCCAGCCAATCAGAAAGTGCTGGGAGCGTCTCAGAGGGTGAGGAAATTGATACAGCAGAAATCGCACGGCAGGTCAAAGAACAGCTGATCAAGCACAACATTGGACAGCGCATTTTTGGACATTATGTCTTAGGACTATCTCAAGGGTCTGTGAGTGAGATTCTGGCCCGGCCAAAGCCCTGGAATAAGCTGACTGTCCGTGGCAAGGAGCCATTCCACAAAATGAAGCAGTTCTTGTCTGATGAACAGAACATCTTGGCACTTCGTAGCATCCAAGGCAGACAGAGAGGTGAGACATGTCCATGTGTGCCTGGTACAGTAGTGTGTGTGTGTGTGTGTGTGTGTGTGTGTGTGTGTGTGTGTGTTTGAACATTTGTACATCACATCAGGTAAAGTGCTCTTCAGTACTACCCTATCTAGCGTTCAAGGGTCAGTCAGCAGGAGCTAGAAACCATTATATCGGGAACTCTGACCTTGGAGAGTGTAGTCAGCACCTTGCCTCACTAAATTCCATATTTCACTGCTCTGTGTTTAGAGAAAGTTAGGTCATGCATGTCATCTGACAGGTTTAGGATCCCTGGGTCCACTTGGCATCAGGTGCTGGCTTCCCTCCAGGAGCAGCTCCTCGGGTGCCATCCAACTCTATCCCAATAGAACAAACAGCTATAATCCTCACAAGGCACTGGCTCTGTGGGACGAGCCTGTTAAAGCTGCCCTCTGCCTCCTTCACCTTAGAACAGGTCCCATCATTTATGTCCAATTAGTGATTTTTTTTCAGTAACACAAACAAAACATGCCTACCTTCAATAAATGACACGAAAGTTTCATTCAGTTCCCCTTCCTGCCACACCCTTCATAAAATGCTAGAAAGTGAGATGCTCCCACAGTGATGGAGCAGAGTCAGCAGTGACATAGAGAGACAATGTTTTCAGTCACATTTGAAATACCCTGAAATTTAGACTAAAACTCAGAAAGGAGATAATGAACAAACAGTGAGAGTTTACACCAAGAATGCAATGCAGTGCTTTTTTTTTTTTTTTTTTTTTTTTTTTTTTGGTAATGTTAAACTGAAATTGGATGTCTTTGGATGATTAATGTGAGCACTATCATTGACTGGCAGGCAAGCACCTCTCCCTCCCTTTGCCCTTCCTAGTGGTGATTACTGTCACCTCTCTTCTTACAGTAGACCCAATGCCTGTAAGAAAGTTCTAGGAGCACTCATGTTGTGCAGGAAGCCTTGAGCCCTTTCTTTAGAGGCAGGTGGCTCAGCTCTCATGTCACACAGACCATGTCGTCAACGCCACCATCCCCCTGATTGTTTTGTTCTTACCGCACTTGTTTTTCAACAGAGAATCCAGGCCAGAGCCTGAACAGACTCTTTCAGGAAGTACCGAAACGAAGAAATGGGTCTGAAGGTATGTCTCAGGCAGGTGTTTCTCTTTGCAGTCAGTAACTAGGAAGCAGCATGTCCTTAGCTGTGTATTTGGGTTAAAACTATGCATTGTAATTCTGGCCTGGAACCTGATGGAAAAACAGCTAGTAAGTATAAAACAAAGCACGGGTTCAGAGGCGCCCAGCCCCTTTCCTGTTGAGCTGCCAAAGCTAGACAAGCCATACCCAAGGTCAGTCCCCTCAGCATCAATCCTTGGTTTCATTTCAGGGACACCATGCATGTTTTCTCAGGAGCAAGTGACACAACAGTTGTGCTCTGAGAAAATCAGGTGACCATGTCAAAGATATTGCTGCTTCCTCAAATTTTTAATGCTGACATGTGTCAGAAATTCCATAATGTGTTCAGATTCCAAACAAAGCTGGTTCTTCCACAGGCATTGGTGAGCCAATCTTCACCATACTCCTTTAAGTGGCTCCTTCCCAAAGTGTCCTCCTCATTATTAAATTGCTTAATGTGACATGTCTACTGAGAAAGGTAGTGAACAATTAGAATGTCTGGATAGCTCCACAAAAGTCTGGGCCCAACCTGTGAGTCCTTGTACCTTCAGGGCATCTGCACACGTATCTGCTATGCAGAGTACCACCATGTGACCAGAAGAATGCACTTGTGTCCTTAGGGATCTCAACAGGTTTTTCTCCTTGTTGATACATTTCGAAAACACAGTATGTCGTTATAAATCTAGAAAAGTTGATGTTCACACTCATTCCTCTTCACCTGTCACATCCCAATGAGTGAGCCAGGATTGGTCTCACCCAAGGGCTAGGGATGTAGCTCAGTCTCAATGGTAGAACATTTATCTAAAATCTCCTAGTGAAGGGCCAGGGACATTGCTCAGTGGGTAGAGCACCTGCCTATAATCCCTAGTGAGGGGCTGGAGGCATGACTCAATTGTAGAGCACTTGCCTAGAATCCCCTAGTGAGGGGCTGGGGACATGCCTTAGTGATTAAAGTGCCTACCTAGAATCTCCCAGTGAAGGGCTATGGCATGGCTCAGCAACAGAGTAATTACCTAGCATGCCTAAGGCTCTAAATTCAATCCCCAGTAACACGAGCGTGCACACTCTCACACACACACACACACACACACACACACACACACACACACTAAGGAGTTCAGGCTCATCGTTTGCCTTTTGCCTTCCTCTCATGTTTATGTTTAGGAAAAATAAATGTACAGAGCCTGAATGTAGTTCCAAGCCAAAGCTTTTTAATAAAAGCTTATGAAAAAACATTGCCTTTCAATTTGCCTTCTTTCCCTATGGTGTTCTAAATGATTTGTCTGGTACTGACCTCTGGGCACAGTCTAGCTCACATGTTAAGAAAGCCTATTCTGCCAATAGAGTGACACTGACCTTGAGACAGGTTCAGCAGGAAACCTCTTGCCAGGCAGGTCTCACATCCATGCCACAAGATCACACTTGTAGCAATTAGGGATGAGTGGGAGACCATGCCTCACCTGGGGCCCTGGGTCAGAATGCCTTGGTGCATTGGTGCAGTGTTTATTTCCACTTGAGAGCTGGCTTTAATGTCATCACTGGGACTTCTCCCTGCAGGTAACATCACTACCAGGATCCGAGCATCTGAGACTGGTTCTGATGAAGCAATCAAGTCTATCCTGGAACAAGCCAAGAGGGAACTCCAAGTGCAGAAAACTGGTAGGGCTTCTATTTCCTCACGCTATCTTCAGACCTATATCACAAGTGCTCTAGTCAATAGATAATTACATTCCTTATCTTTTCTTTTCCTTTTAAATCAATACTGAGTTTATATCTTCATACATTAGGCATATGCAGAGGGAAGTATGATCTAGATTTGTGGGGTTTTTTTGGGGTGGGGGAGCAGGGAAATTGTTTTTGTACATGAGATAGGGTCTTCTATATAGCTTGAGCTCATGAGCCTCCTGTCTCTGCCTCTTCTTGAGTGCTACGTTTATAGGTATGTGCCACCATGCCCAGCTCTACTTTTAATATCACCTCCCCACTGCTAACTAGCCATACCCCAGTGCTCATTATAAGAGCCTGTCATTGATTCATCAGAGACTCTGACTTCCAGTAGACATTAACAGAAATCGTGCTTCATGAGTTTGGCAAAACCAAGAGAGGTGTAGGTATGTGGTTCATGAAAGTTAGTATTTAAAATCTTCCAGAAAAGAAAGCCAGAGTGGATTAGGGTGATGGGCCACTTAGCAAAACAGTTTGAAGACCTGAGTTTGGATCCCCAGAACCAACAATAACAACCAGAATGGCAGAAGCATCTGTAACCCTGCCCTCCCCGCTTGGGGATCTGGGTGGGAACAGGAGAATCCCTGGAATCTCACAGGCCAAACAACCTAATTAATGCAGCAACAGAGACACCATCTCAAACAAGTTGGAAAAACAAGGACCAACAGCCAAGGTTGTCTGTCCTAATCTCCACAGGAGCTCTTTAGTATGTTCACCACACACACACACAGAGAGAAGAAAGAGGTAACAGCAAGATGACTTAGCAAGTGAAGGCCCTTGCCGCCAAGACTGACAGCCTAAGTTTGCTCCCTGGCACCCACATGGTAGAAGAGAACTGACTCATGAAGTTTGTCCTCTGACAAACTATCATGTTTATCTATCATGTACCACATATATGTGCACCCACATACATACACATAAAATAAATAAACGTATTTTTTTTAATGTAAAAAAGAAAGCCAGGGTAGAAGTGAGTCCCCACTGATCATCCTCCATGGTTGAAAAGCCAGCTGCTATGTCACAAAGGCAGTTAGAGGCAGTTAGGCCATTGAGCAGGTATGTCAGTCCTCTGTGTTCCCCTCTCAAACAAGGTGTACAGATATTTCCATGTTTCACTGATGACGAGGCATCAGACAAGTAGTACAGTGACTGCACTAGACCAGTAGGTGGGATGAAGCCCACAGCTGCCAGGAACCATCCTACCACAACTTCACCTTGTGTGTATTCTTACAGCTGAGCCAGTCCAGCCATCTTCCGCATCCAGCAGTGGGAATTCTGATGATGCCATCCGCTCCATCCTACAGCAGGCCCGCCGGGAAATGGAGGCCCAGCAGGCGGCCCTTGACCCTGCCTTAAAGCCAGCACCACTGTCCCAGCCTGACCTCGCCATCCTCACTCCCAAGCTCTTGTCTGCCTCACCCATGTCTACTGTGTCCACTTACTCTCCTCTTGCCATTCCCCTGAAGAAAACCCCTACAGCACCTGAGGCCAGTACCTCGACCTTGCCCAATGCCCCAGCCCTCAAAAAAGAGGCTCAGGATGCACCTGGGCTAGACCCTCCAGGATCAACTGATGCTGCCCAGGGGGTACTGCGACAGGTGAAGAGTGAGCTGGTCCGTGGCAGCACCTGGAAGGATCCTTGGTGGAGCCCTGTACAGCCTGAAAGAAGAAATCTCACCTCTTCCGAAGAGACCAAGGCTGATGAAGCAGCTGCAAGTGGGAAAGAAAAGGTAGTCAGTAGCCAACCTCGGGCTGAGCGCAGCCAGCTTCAGGGACCCTCGTCATCAGCAGAGTACTGGAAAGAGTGGCCCAATGCTGAGTCGCCATATTCCCAGAGCTCAGAGCTGAGCCTCACTGGAGCCAGCCGCAGCGAGACACCCCAGAATAGTCCTCTGCCCTCCTCCCCAATCGTGCCCATGGCAAAGCCAGCAAAGCCCTCAGTACCCCCACTGACTCCTGAGCAGTATGAGGTCTACATGTATCAGGAAGTGGACACCATTGAGCTCACCCGGCAAGTCAAAGAGAAGTTGGCCAAGAATGGCATTTGCCAGAGGATCTTCGGGGAGAAGGTAAGGGCCTTCACTGTTAGGGGAGAGCATGGCTTTCCATCTCTTTTTGGGCCTGAGGACCAAGTGTCCACCCTGCACAGCATGGCCATCATAAGAGTATTAGATATCACAGACTCCCAGAATTCCAGAGGCCGCCCACTTTGTGCCAACCTGTGTATCCCAGCTGTCCTGCTTAGTAACTGATAAATGGACATGCAGCAGATGAAGAAGCATGGTCCATTAGTGTCTGCATGCAGCAAGCTGGCAGGTGACCCAGTACCTGCCCTGCCTCTGAGGCCAAATGCAGTGTAGAGATACCTCTGCAAGCCATTCCGGCCCTAAAAGGTCTGATAGGATCATATCCTACAGGGATAACCAGCCTTCTGAGAACCAAAACACATGTGAAAGTAAAAAGCTGCACAGAACATAATTCCTCCTTGGCTGTTTTGTTGGATTTTTCTTTCTTGTGTTGGTTTGTTGCGCTTCATTGTTGTTTTGAGAGGGGCTTACTTTTAGTTTATGTTATTTTTTGAGATAGTGTCTCCCTGTGTAGTCCTGCCTACCTAGAACTCATTGTATAGCCCAGGCTGGCTTCACCCTAGCAGGAATCCTCCTACCTGTACCTCCCACATGCCACAGTTACAGATGTGTGCAACTGCTCAGCTCCTAGTTGTTCCTTTCTCTGCACTACGAGGGCCTACAGAACCACTCAGAGCGTCACACACCATCTCTTCCTGCCTCATGGAAGTGTATTCACTTATGGATGAGCTTCTAGACCTATCCTGTGGTAGATTCAGGATAACAGGATTTACCATGCCTGTAAAATCTAAAATAAATACAATAACCTATATCTTTAGAGAGTAAACCATGAGTTGCTGAATATAAAGAGAAGTCCTCTCTTCCAGAGAAGACACAGGAAGTGGATCAGCAGTGGCCCTCCCAACCCTTTTGGACACTCATCCCTCCCCACCCAGTCCCTCTCTGTCTCATCTCTATGTTGACCTTGAACTCTATAGTCTGTTTATGGCTTCCTTGTCCCAACTTTGCAATAAGTAATGGAGGTATATAGACATGAAGATGTGAATTGAAAGTCCCTGGAGAATCTTGAGTGCAGCATTGTAAAAATAAAATTTGTGAACATTTAAATAGGCATTTTGTGCTCCCACCTTAAATTTAGCAGACTTAATAACATTGAATTTGTTTGGCCATGAGTGCTGCTTATTCTGGAACTGGAAAACTTTGCAAAGTGATGGGATGAGGCCTCTAAATATCTTTGGGCTACATCTGTGCCCTGGGGGGTGTTTGTGCCCATACATATGTATGGCCATATGTGAGAGGCAGCAGCCTGAGTGCATGCGTGCAAGTTGTCGGTCTTCTGCTGCTCAGTGTTGCTCCCACACTGGCTCCCTGTCCCCACCAGCTCTCCTCTGGTCAACCTGTAAGCAGGGTACAACCAGAGAGAATGACCTTTTATAAATGCTCTTTTGGCACTGTGTCAATACAGGAGCACAGGAATATCTCCTAATTCCAGTGGGCTCTTATTCCAGTATCCCAGCCTGTCCTGATTAACACCAGGCAAAGGGCAAAATGCTCTGCAGTGTCTGCTCCTCAGTTTTCAAGAACACAACTTTGCAGCCTCTGCAGGGTTCAGACCCTGGAGAAAGCTGGCCCCTTCCTTCCACACCCTTTTCTAGTAAGAGCTGTAAACTACCCTTTCTCTTTTTTGTTTTTGATCATGCTGGGGATGAAAACCAGGCCTTGCATGGGTTAGACACATTCCAAGCCCATCACTGGCAGATTTTAGGTCACACCCTGAGCCTCTCAATAGGAGATTCAAAGCAGGTGCCTTGCTGCTGAGCCACATTCCCAATAGAAGTTGTGCTTATAATCATTTCTTTTGCCCAGAACCCCTGCCCTGCCCAAAACTTTATCCTACTAGTAATCTGCTAAAATTGACCCCTGCAAATTGTCGCCATGCACTGGGCTGTGATTTTGTGCTCAGGAGTCCACCAGTGCACTTTGTATGTGGCTTCATCTCCCCCAGCCCTCACAGGGCCACATGTATGTCTCTAAAGCACCTTGCAGCATCATGCAGATTTCTAGAAGCTGACAATTGTTTTTCTTTGTTTGCTTCTTCAGGTACTGGGCCTGTCCCAGGGCAGTGTCAGCGACATGCTCTCAAGGCCAAAGCCATGGAGCAAACTGACCCAGAAAGGCCGAGAACCCTTCATCCGGATGCAGCTCTGGCTGAATGGAGAGCTAGGCCAGGGTGTTCTGCCTGTGCAAGGGCAGCAACAAGGGCCAGGTGAGAACAGCCAACCACCCTTTGCAAGAGCCTGACAAGGACATCCTCCATCCATGGGCTTTGTTTGGATTTGGTTTGGATTTGGGGTTTTTTTGTTTGTTTCTTTCTTTTTTGTTTTTGTTTTGTTTTTTGTAGTTTTTGAGGGGGTATGGGGAGTGGTGAGATAGGGTCTGTTTATATTTTCAAGACTGACCTCAAACTTACTATATAGCCCAGACTAGCCTTAGACTCACTGTCTAGCCAAAGCAGACCTTAAGCCCATGATCCTCCTGCCTCAACTTCCCAAATGATGGAAAGGCAAATGTGTACCCATACCTGTCTCCATCTTTAGCTTTCAGGAATAAAGAAACTAAGCCCAGCTAATTTTATAAGCAGCAGAAAATTAGTTACCAATTAAGAAAATGCTGTTTATATGTAAATATAGGTAAAAGTCAAGTACCTTCACTGGGGAACTGAGAAGGAAATCTAGCCAGGGTAACTTCAGAAGTGAAAGTATCACAGGCAGTGGCTTCTGCTACCTTAAAGTGAGACTTCTGGCATTTTATAGACTTGAGCAACCCTCATCCCAATCCAGCATCCTGGTCCTCAGCATGACAATAAGAAGCCTCCCTCCCTCTGAACTCCTGCTGACCCTCCTAGTATCTTTTGTGCAGTTGGGAAGCTCCAAGCCCTGTTTCCTATGTAACGGTACCTTTTTCTTCCACAGTCCTCCACTCAGTGACATCTCTTCAGGACCCCCTCCAGCAGGGCTGTGTAAGCTCAGGTAACTAGCCACTCATGTTTATTTGCTAGCGCCTCTGCTCTGGAAATCTGTGATCTGGGAGTAAGTGTCCCATTTCTAACCTTAGCAAACAGCTGTCTCTCCCTCTCCGCCATGCTGTCATCTGAGGCCATTGTGTAAATAGAATCATGCAAGACATGACTGTTAAGAATTACCTTCTACTAGACAAAGTGTCCTGGAGATCCACTGACCTGATGTGCAGCAGTAATTTCTTCTCCTGCCTGAGTAGTATTCCTATGGTATGGTTATATCAAAGTTTGTACTGCATTGAGGCTATCTCTAGGTTGTGGCAATTATTCATAGACTTGGCATGGCAGTAAAAAGAGTATGCGGTGTCCAGCTTTCCTGAACTTGCTTTCTGAGGACAGTAATAGAATTGGCAGCTAAGGAGTGAGACCAATAAAATCCATGCCTTTACTGGATCTCTTCATTGTTTTGTAAGTATGAAGCTCTGTGTTTGGTGCTGGGGTCTATTGGAGGCAAGTTTCACAGTCAGGGGATCTCAGTCTAGCAGGAGGGACAAGACACAGCCATCACTGACCCAGGAGTTATGGGAGGGGATAGCTCTTCCATCTGGAGCACCAGAATAGAGAAGCCAAGGATGAGTAACTCCAGCAGCAGCTAGGGTGAGATTCAGTGGACACTCAGTGAGGGTTCAGAAGGGGCCAAGATTGAAAGTAAAGGATGGGAGCAAGTAGGGATGGCAGCAGTTACAGACCATGAAGCTCAGGCTACTTTCTACTGATTCCAAAAACTGGAAGGTCTCAAAGGCACCTGATAGATCTGTTATCTATTCCCTGAGGTTCCTGGCCACAGTAGCCAAATGCATGCATGCCCTGACCACAGCCATTGTTCCCAGGCTCTCATCACTGCCTTTTACACTGAGCCCAAGTCAGTCCAGCTTTCTTTCCCAGCTCCGAGGAACAGCCGGCAGTGTGAGCCGTTTCTTTTTTCTCTATTTTTCTAAACATGTTGATTAGTCTCCGTATCCCATTGATTCATTGAAAACACAAACAAAGCTAAGTGAGGAATGAGCGCAAAGCCTGTCAGCTTGCCAGAAGGGAGGACACATGTGCATAGAGGGGAACAGCTGGACAGCTTTAGCAATAGCTGCTGCTGCTGCAAGATCCCAAACACATTCTCCCTCCCCCACACACATACACAGAATCAGGGTGCTGCGGTGGCCTCAAAGCTCTCCCTTGAAGGTTTTATGGGTTTTAGGTATTGTGGTTTTGTTTGGTCCATAATGGGAAATAGAGACTGGACAGATGCATTGGGAAAATTACCAGCACTCTCTCTCTCCAACTCACACTCAGAATTTAGGAGGGAACGTGGCTAACTTGTTTGTGCTGCACTTCTGTGGGTATTTGTATGGTAAAGTGGCCTGGCCTCCTACTCCAGTGAGAAGTCAGCTTTCCTTCAACTACTGCTCATTCCAGGCTAAACGAAGCTTGTTGTGGCAGAGCTGATGCTTTATTGATGAAAGCCCTTCACTCCTAAATACAAGACTAAATGCCCCTCAGTACCATATCTCTTAGAATCCTGACCAAAACATTTCCGTATATCTCAAAGGGGTTTGTTTTGTTTTTAATGGATGTGTGTGACAGCATGTATGTCAAAATCAGAGGACAACTTGTGGAAATTGTTTCTTTCCACACTGTGGGTTCCAGGGATTGAACTCAGGTCATCAAGTTTAGTGGCAAGCATTTTTACCAACTGAGCCATCTTATTGACCCCACTCCTTTTTCCCCACTCCAAGACAGGGTCTCATTTAACCCTAGCTAGCCTCAAACTCACTATGTAGCAAAAGATGACCTTGAATTTCTGCTCCTTCTGTCCTTACCTCTTGAGTGCTTACATTACAGTCATACAACACCACACTCAGTTTATGCATTGCTGGGGATTGAACCCAGGACTTTCAGCATGCTAGGCAAATACTCTGTCAACTGAGGTACATCCCCTTCCCCCAAAACTGGAATTATTTTGTAATGATAGTATCGGTAAATCCTTGTGATAAATGACTCTAGAAAATTCTAGAATCTTTGACAGCTTTTATCATTGTTTCCTCTAAAAGAACTCTCTGGTTCGGAGAACCTCATAAAATTCTGATTACCTCTTTTGCCATGGCTACTATGGAACCCATTTCAAAAATATATCAACTGAGAAAGATAACTCTGCCCCTCACAGATCCCTGACAACTGTACCTGGAGGTGCACAGCATGGCCTGGTCAGTTCCTGGGCAGTGGTGGGGCTCACTTCTCTCCCCAGGGTATAGGAACATGGAAGGACCTGCCTTCTATCTACTTGGTCAGTTGTACCTTCAGTGAGGTTTCCCAGGCCATTGCAGAGATCAAGGGCCTAAACAGAAGGCTCTGTGCTTGGTTGTCAAAGCCCTCCTTGGCAAAGGACAAAGTGCTGGCTAGGGACCCTTCTCCTTGCCAAAGAACTCCAACCTGGGAGCTGGAGATGTGACTCAGTTGGTAGAATTCCTTCCTAGCATGCATGTAGCCCTGGGTTTCATCACCAGTACAACATAAAGTATTGAGGAGTTAGTAAGGGTCAGGAATTCTCATACACTAATCTCTCTGGTGAGGAGAGGCCCAAGTTCCAACTGTCTTAGTGGATGTGACCCTTTGTGTCCTCTGATAATCTGAACCTTGAGGCACAAAGGAAATTGAATGTCATTTTCAATTACCAGTGTTGCTCCATGGTTACCTCTGTGGGAGGGTGGGGGAGATGGGGTGCCCAGGCCTGAGGTCAACTTTATATGTCATTCCATATGAGTTGTCAACCTTGTTTTTTCAGACAGGGTCTCTCCCTGGAATCTGGGGCTCATCAGCTGGGCTAGTATAGTTGGCCAGAGAGCCCCACCTTCTCAGAGCTAGAATTACAACGTGCACCAAGGCACTTAGCTTTTTCACATGGATTCTCAGGGTTAAGGGAGCACACACACTAGAGAGCATCTGCTAACCTTGTGTAATAATTTCCTTTTTACTTCTTAAAACTAACTTCTGCAGATGCTTGGGCTGGTTCATCTTTCATCCTCTACAGAAGGAGATAAAAGGTAGCTCTGAAGGGAAGAAAGAGGCCTTCCCCATGGTGACAGAAATTGTGGCATGCTGGAGGGCTCGTACAAGAGCTGTCTGTGCCATCAACTTGGGAACTTGTTGATAAGGGAGCCTTTCATGACTATAGCTAACAAGGTGTTCTGCCTGCTTTTTTCACACTAGCTTCTGGCAGATCTTGTCAAAGTGTACAAATGAAATGACAGCCCTTTTCTATAGATTAGGCACAAAATGCTCAATTTTTCCCTAGCATTCTGGGTGGTCAGGAAGAGTGGCTTCCAAGTCATGTCTGTCCATGAAGAGTCATGCAACTCCATGGCGCCATTGTCCATCAACAGAGTGTCAGCTGTCCTTTAGAGGAGACAGCTGCTACAGGCTGGCTAGGGCATGGGAAGTCCAGCTAAGACATCCACAGCTGTGTAGGTGAGGTCTGTGGATATTCCTCATAGCATGGTAGCCTGTATCCTTCAGGGTGTGCATCCTGACACTTGCTTGAGCTGCTGGGAAGTCTGTTCAAGGAGCTTCTTCTCTCAGACCCAAACAGCAGGATTCTGCTGCAGTCTGTCTTTGACTAAGCAGCCACTTCTTGGCACTTGGCTGACTTAAAAGAGGTGACAGAGAGGGTTGGTGGCAGCCTCAGAAAAGTTCGTGGAACTGAATAGAGGAGACAGAATTCCTCATGAATGTACTAGATTCAAGTTACATTTTCCTTCTCTTTGCTCCAAGAATGTCATGAGAGCAACTGGTTTTATCCAGACAGAATGCTTCTGGCTGCGTTCATGTAACTGTATTTGTGTATAATCACTTATACATAGCCTCATATAGCATATCAAACAGAAAAGAAAAACTCAGGGCCCCGTGAGATAGTTCAGTCAGTAAAGAGCTTTCCATGCAAACATAAGGATCCGAGTGCACTCCCCAAAACCCACCTGAAAAAGCTAGGTTTTGGTGGTGCAAGCTTGTAAATCCCAATGCTTGGTGGGCAGAAATAGGAGACTCTCTGAGTTCCAGGTCAGTGAGGGATTCTGTCTCAAAGCAGAAACAAAACAGGTGAGGAGGAGCACCCATGGTTGTCCTGTGGCTGTGCACATGTATGTGCACCCCATACATATGGGCATACATATGATATACCCACCCACAAAGAAAAAGATCTGAAATTCCATGAAAAGATCTGAAAAGATTCCACACATGGCCACTGCCTTACTGCCTGAAATGTTAGCCTATGGTTCCATCAAGATGGTAGCCCATTCAATTCTCTCCTTCTTGTTGGCAGCCTGCCTTGAGTCATTTTTATTTTATTAGATGTAGCATATTATAAGGACTTTCCATTCTGAGGCCAAAGGGGGAATTTCTGGATTTGGGCTATTGTATGGCACATCAGGTGGTCCCTGGAGCTGCAACTTTGCCATGAAAAGATATGGAATCAGACAACAAAATGTTTCAGGTAGGGAACAAACATGAACACATGAGAAGCAACTAGTTCCGAAGCCTTATTATTAACAGCAGGAAGAAAGTACATGGTGAAAGCATGTTGTCCTCTTTTCCTGTAGAACACTTGCTGTTTCTTGCAGGTTTCTGTATTTATATATGTGTGTTGTATTTGGGATGAAGACATACCTCAGCCCCTCACTGGGGGATTCTAGGCAGGTGCTCTACCCCTGAGTCACACCTCAGCCCCTCACTGGGAGATTCTAGGCAGGGGCTCTACCCCTGAGTCACACCTCAGCCCCTCACTGGGGGATTCTAGGCAGGAGCTCTACCACTGAGTCACACCCCAGCCCCTCACTGGGAGATTCTAGGCAGGGGCTCTACCCCTGAGTCACACCCCCAGCCCTTGAAAGAGATTCAGGCTGGTTTCTAAACAGTGGCATCCCTTAGCCTAGTGGAGAGCAAGCCAGATGTGTGGTCAGCTTCTAG